TTCTTTAGAAATGGGAGCACTCGGGGGTTAGAAACGCTGGCAGGGCAGAAAGCAGCAGGGGCAGGAGCTGACGGCAAGCGCTTGCAGCCGGCACCACGGACCAAAGACTGACGTCCATTGGAGTGGGAGACGGAGAGACCGAACTTACGACGGCACAGCGGCCGGAATTCTCCAGCAGAGGGTTCACCAGGAAAGAGTGGCTTCAACCCTGGAAAAGATGGCCGGGCTCGCCCAGGGTGAGGGGAGCCAGGTGAAAACAGCGCCGGGCCGTTTCTCGGCCGGCACTCCATCTGGACGGCCAGCCCCTCAGAGATCCAAAGCTCCGACCGCACACGCAGGCGGCGTGGCTGGGAACCGTCGGACCCTCCCGTAGGTCACCGGCGGCAATGCGGTGACACAGCCCGTGCACGGGAATGTAGCGTCATCTAATGAAAGCACACATGCAAGTCAAGTTCCAGGGAACCGCCTTGAAACGCCGGTGTGAGGGAAAGAAACACACCTCTGTTCTCGCTGACAATACCCACTCTCGGGGCGCGGGCCCTGTCGCGCGGTCAGAGGGCCCTCTCCCGGTGCGGGAGCTGCCGAGCGGTTTCCTTCTGCCCCTGCGGTTTCTTACAGTAACTGTGTTAGGTTCTGGAATCCATCAACATCCTTCCAGCCGCCACGGCATCTTGGCTGCTGGGTTGGATCAAGTTGCCATCGGCCCAGGTTTGCCATCTTGTCCCGAAGGGGCATTTTTGAAAGTTGTTTTACTTTTTTTTTTAAACAATGTTGCTTTATTGAGGTATAATGGAGGAATAGAGTTGCTCAGAGAGTGCAAGTGTGCATGCTGGTGATTGGATCCAGGTCTACATTGCAAATGATTCCCCCGCCCAGGTCCCAGCCCCTCCATCCCCTCGTGTGTGTGTGTGTGTGTGTGTGTGTGTGTGTGTGTGTGACATTCCAGGAGAGTCAGAATTCTGGGTAGGTGTGAGAGGAGCAGGTTTGATTGTGAAGTGAAGTTTCTGGATGTGGGTGCGGACTATGGATGTTATCTTCTAATTTAAATTCTTTTCATTTATTGACTTGAGAGAGAAACATTGATTTCTTGTTCTACTTATTCATGCATTCATTGGTTGATTCTTGGACGTGCCCTGACTAGGGATTGAACCCGCAACCTTGGTGTATCAGGACGATGCAGTAACCAATTGAGCTACCCAGCCAGGGCTTTTAATTTTTATTTTATTGTGCCCCTAGAGATACAGAATAAGACCATACCTTTGGGACTCCTCATGCCTCCGTGGTGGGACTGTTGTATAAATCAGAGGGAAATGATATTTATTTAACAGCTACTCTATGACAATATGTATCCATTAGTTTCATGACCATCTGACAAGCCAGACATTATTTAACAGTTGAAGAAACTAAGGCATATGGAAATTAAGAAACCCACCAAAGGTTACAAAGTGAGCAGCAACGCAAAAATGTAGACCTTTTCTGACCAGAGTTCACACGGTCTTCTCTCCACCCGGCCAGCGGGTCTCAAACGTCCGCGGCTCCAGAGCGTCCGGGCGGGCTCCTGGGGCACAGGCGGCTGACCTCCCTTCAGAGCCCCCTCGCCGGTTCCGGGCCGGGCCCGTGGGCCTGCCTCCCTGCGCCGCTGCGGCCTGAGCCCGAGCCGTGACCGACCAGATGCGTGAGCGCATCTGAGAATGTGACCGATTGGGGTCACAGATCTAGATGGGAAATGGCATTAGTAGCGTCTGATCATCTTCACAGAGCAGTCCTTTTATGACGTGTCTGTGCAGAGGCTGATTAATAAAAGGCACAAGTCGCTCTGTCTGTACAGTACACAAGTATGCAACCACTATGCTGGACACCTGACTAGTACAAAAAAATGGTGAATGGCAACTGGGATTGAAAAATAAATTTTAAACAATGGCAGAAAGTCATTAGGCAGGCAATACAGAGAACTGAAATCCTTAGGAGGCGAGCTGAAGCGCCGTAGTATACATTCTGCTGAGCAATGTGGTCAGAAGTTAAAGAATTAGCTATGGGCCCCTAGCAGAAGGGCTCCCGGGCCGGAGGAGGCGAGATGTCGCGCCCCCTGTCGCGCGTGGGACTTCAGCTGCTGGGGGGGGTGGGGCGGGGGCTGGGGAGCAGCAGCATCTCTCCTGCGGCCTGGCCGCAGCGGCAGCTCGCGCTGACTTCATTCTGGATGTGACCGAGGCCAGAGCTCGACGAGGCTGAAAAGAGAGTGATCACAGGTATCGAGAAAATACATTTCCTTGAATCTGTTCTAACTCTAGATTTGAGTGAAAATCTTTGTTTTTGTGGTGTTTTGTTTGTGTTTTGTTTCGTTTCCATGCGAGGGGAAGGCGGCCAGCCAAAAAAAAAAAAAAAAAAAAAAATCACTGCCCTCACAATCTGCAGTGTAACTGCCACCGTAGGCTCAGACGTGACTTGAGCGACCCGGCTCCCAGAGAGGATGACACAGCACAGGGAGCACAGCCGGCCTGCCTGGCTCTGTGGAGAGCAAAGCCGCGCCAGGCCACCCGAGCTGGGGGCGCTCTCCACCTCCAAAAGGACACGGGGAACTGATGGGCCGGTGAGCCAGCCGTGGGGCGGGGGGGAGCAAAAATGCCGCAACGCAGCCCCTTAGGCCTTCCCTTTACACGGCTTTTGTTTTGTGTGTATTAACGCACACACAGAGGTTAAATATCGTTACTAAACAGTACAGAGGCAAGGGATGAGTTAGCTCAGTTAATGAATTGGTTCAGCTACTTAGTAGACACGCCCTAGGACTAGGCGCAGTTACTGAGGATGCCCAGAAAACAGCGTTCAGAACTCAGAGCAGTAACCACAGGAGCACCATCTGGGGAACGCCGCCTCTCCTTCCGCGGTGGTGGACGCAAGGGGTCCTCGTGGGGACGTCCTTGCCTCCCACTGGGGCTCATTTGTACCTTCCTTCACTCATGTAACAGGTACCCGATGCTTCCTACTGGCCCGGCCATGTGCTCAGTGCCTTTAGGAATGTTCACATGATACGTGGCAGGTCTTCATTCGTTCAACAGATATTTATGAGGGCCCTACTTTGCGCCAGACGCAGTTCTGGGCGCTGGGGACGTTGAAGTTAAAAGCAAACAAAGTGAGGAATGTATCAACCTGTTCAGTTATGCCACTTAAAACTGAGGAAGGGCTGAAGGAAGGACTGTAACAAAACGCTGTGCTGGCCGGAGGTGGCGCAGAGGACTCGTTAAAAGCAAGCACAGCACCTACCATGTGAATGGTAGAATCCAAGGAGGGTTCACTGTAAAATCTTCCAGCTCTGTGTTTGGACGTTTACATGATAAAATACTACGGAAACAGCGATGAGAATGATGAGGAAGGTGGGGACTTGGGAGAAGCTCTTAGAGGATGCGGCGTTCTTGTATCTCGCCCTCTTCCTCTCTGCTACTTAACACGGGTATCCCCTGAGCCAGGGCTGTGCCAAGCTCCCAATTCCCACAGGCCTGGTCGTGGGCTATCGAGCCCTCTCCGCACAAGTCCCTGGGGGCTGCGTGGTCTCCTGCGTCGAGGGCAGACTGGGGAGAAGCAGCGGACCCACAAGCAGAGTGAACCCCCCACCCACCGCCCTTTGGGAGCCCCACCTTCCAGCTGACTTGAAAGGGGAGAACGCTGGTGTTTTCTAATACTCTTAATTTTCCTTAATAACTTTTCCCAACACGTTCCTTGAATTTAAGGCAATTTACTAAGTTTTAAAAGAGGATGCTGACGACAGGTCCTCTGTTGGACGGCAGGACCCCTCGTCAGCTCGGGGACCCCAGCCCCGGGACAGAGGCTGGAAATGACTTCTCTCCCCGGTCGCCAGCGGAAGGGCCCTCTCCAGCGTCGGCCTTTTCCCCTGGGGACACTTACCTACCTACTACGGTCTAGAGCCTGGGCACCGCTCTCCGCGCTTCCGCTGGAGCAGTTCGCAGCAGTCCCGGCCCGTCCTCGTCGCCCTCGCAGTTCCGTTGCACAGACCGAACGCCGAAGCCCGGGGAGGCGGGGTGACGCGCTCGCGGAAACGCCGGAACCTGGCGCGGGGGCGGAGGCGGAGGCGGCTCCGGGCGCCCGGCGAACGCTGCCGCTCTGACCCCGCGGGCCAGTCCCGGGAGCCGGCTCCCGGAGAGCCGCCCGACGCGGCATTCAGGGTTCCGTCGCTGTTCCCGCAAACCGCGGCGCGCAGGACCCCCGCACTGGGGGTTTATAGCGGCGGCTTCAAAGGGCGCTGACGCTCGCCGGGAGCGCGCCCTCGGATAACCCTTCTCCCGGGGTCGCCTGCTAAGGAGGGTGGTGTTGAGGGGTCCCGAGAGGCGAAATGTTTAAAGCCAGGGCCTGACATTATTTTGGCCAACGGAAGGGGGAAAATACTCATTTTTGGAAACGCACACTTTCAGCCTGCCCAGGGGGCGAACGACATTAACTCTTTGTTTCTCCTTAGTCTCCCAAGCGTGTTCTAATAGTGCTCCTTAGCCCCGGGCACGGCCTCCGCGAGGGGACCCTCCCTTCCAGCGGCTTATCCTTTCCGAAAAAGGTGGTGTACACGCAGTTCAAGCGCGGCCCCCAGGGTCGTGGGAGAGGCCCCCCGCCGCGGAGGGGGAGGGGGCGGGCTCGCACGCTCCCGGGGCCGCGGGCGGCGGCGGCGGCGGCGGCGGGCGGGCGGGCGGGCGGGCGGGCGGGGGGCTGGCCCAGACGCCCGCCGCCGCCGCCTGGCGAATAGCAGCGCGCCGCCCGCCGGATTGGAGCAGCAGCATCACGCTGCCCGCCGCCGGGGATGTAAGCGGGCCGCCGCGGCGCGCAGAGGCAGGCGCTCGCTCCTCCGGGACCGCAGCCCACTCCGGCTCCGAGCGGCTGGCGGCGGCGGCAGCGGCCTCCCGGGGCGGCGGCGGCGGCGGCGGCGGCGGCGGCGGCGGCGGGGAGGAGGGAGCGGGCGGGCGCGGCGGGCGGGAGCGGCGAGCGAGGGCGCGTGCGTCCGCGCGCACAGGCCGCGGAGGAGGGGCGGCGCGAACCATGGCCGGGGACAGCGAGCAGACCCTACAGAACCACCAGCAGCCCAACGGCGGCGAGCCCTTCCTCATCGGCGTCAGCGGGGGCACGGCCAGCGGAAAGGTACGGCGGGCCCCGCTCTCTCCCTCCCCGCACGGCCGGCACGGCGCATGTGGCCGGCGGCCCCGGGCCGTGTCAGCTGCTGCAGCCACCGCGTGGCCCGCGCGCCGCGGCTGGCCGCGCTCCAGCGCCGAGTCTCCAGCGCGGACTCGGGGCGCGGCGGGCGGACGTTTGGGACATCGAGGGTCCGGGGTGCCGGACACCCAGCGCAGGGTTTTGGGGTCCCCCCCCCGGCGCCGGTAACTCGTGGCCGGGGTCCTGTGGGGGAGGGGCGGCGGAGGCGGATGCTTATTGTTTTACAAGTCGGTTCCCTGTTGGGGAAGAGGGTTCGGAGCAGGGTCCCCAACGAGCCCCCCATGTCCCCCTCCTCCGGGCTCGCGTGGCTCCGCGCCCAGCGGCTCAGCTGGGTGCCGGGGGCGGAGCGAGCCGAGACCCGACCGGAGGCTGCGAGAGCGCGCGGGGCGCGTCCCGGGGACGACGAGCCCCGCTTGGGCGCGGGATTGCAGGGCTTTCCGGGTGAAATCCTGAGAGCCACAGAAGGTGCGGTGACATCAGCGAGATGAGAATGGTCGGGGCTTCCCGTTCTGTGGTTACAGAGGGAACGTGGCCGGCGTCCACGAGAAAGTTGCTCTGGCTCCCCGCTCCCGGACGCCCGGGGCGTTCGCGCTGGCGCCCTCGGAGAGGGGTCCTCCTGCGGGTGCCGGGCTCCCTGGAGCCTGCTTTCTTTGTGTTACCCCGAGGGGAGACTAGGGAAACGCTTTCCTAGAGCACCCCGGGCTTTCTCTGCAGATGGACAAGGGCGGAGACCTCCCAGATGTTTCTTTCTCTGCCTTTAGGAGGTAGCTACTCTTTCCCCTGACGTTCAGCCACCTCCAACTTGGTCGGGAGGGCCCCCCCGCCCCGGGCCCGGGGCACCGGCCGGAGGTGGGCGCCACGTGCGGCTGGGCGAGGGCCGGTGCATTCAGGCCAGAGAGCCGCGGGGAAGGCTGCTGTCGCCATGAGAAGCCACCACGAGGTTTTCGTTCCGGAGCCGACTCCGCCGCGGGCCCTTCCTTTTGGTTACACACTTTTCCCTCCAGGTCTGCTCTGTTTCGGCGCGGGCCCCGCAGCTGGCGCCGGGGGACTTCCCTATTGATTACGCTGATCTGGTCCCCCGCTCCCAGCCTGGCATCCGCCCGCTTGAGGTCCCAGAACTTGACGCTGCACCCGCCCCTGGTTGAAGGCATTTTTCAAATGCCTTTTCTCCCCATACGTCCTACTCGTAGTCCTATTGCTAGTAATTCAGAGCCGAACCAGGATGCCTGCTTGTTCAGGAAGCTTTACCTCTGTTTTAGAATTATTCTTTCTGGAGCTCATTCCTGTTCACGGGACCTTTTTTTCCCCCGGTTTGTTGAGCGCGCCTAGCACGGTGCCTGCCGCATAATTGGGCCCAGCTGTTAACCTGAGGGCCAGGCCTTGGGGGGGGAGGGCGGGGGGGGGGGGGGCGCTGAAGTGGGCAGAGGAGTGCAGCGTTTAGAAGCAAAAACACCTGGATAAGCACCTAAGTAATTGAGTCGTTAGGGAGGTGGGAAGAAGTCCTAGGAGGTGAAATAACTCCGCTCTGCTTGTGCGCCTCAGCCGTCACCTGCTCTCAGTTCCTAAGTTGACAAACTGCCCAATGTGAAGGAGCCCATGAGCGGGTGTGGGGGGAGGGTGTGGCTCACTCCGCTGTCCCCATTTCTTCTGGAGGGGGCAGTTGTAGAAACTCCCAAGAAAGGGTCTCTTTTTCATGCAGTCTTCAAAGCCTCTCGTACATCTTTTGGCATGGATAAGTACTTTGTTGTGGTTTAAGATTGTTTTACAATTTTTAGAAGAGATTTTACTTATTTTTAGAAAGAGGGGAAGGGAGGGAGAGAGGAGAGAAGCCTGGGTCAGTTGCCTTTTGCTCGCCCCCGCGGGGGACCTGGCCTGCAACCTAGGCCTGTGCCCTGACTGGGCATCAACCCGCGACCTTTTGCTTTGTGGGAAGGCACCCAGCCCCCGGAGCCACACCACTCGGGGCTGTTTTATGATTTTTTAACTTAAAGAGCATTAGGCTTCTAAAATTCCATATGGTGGTCCGTGTGCTACAGCTCGGTCTCGATTCTGTTGTTATGGTCCTTAGTGGCCTTTCCGTCAACAAAGTCCAAGTCCATCTTGGCTGAAGATGGTCCGCATCAACAAACCGGACTTTTTAGAAGCCTCAGGCCGGAGTGCTGTGGCGCAGGAGGGTTGGGAAGCGAGGCTGACCGCCTGGGCGTTTTGTTACAAACGGGCCTGTTAAAGGAGTTTTGGGGAAGGCAGAGGGCCTGAGAGCGTCGTCAGAAATGGCAGCCTGAGAGGTAGAAGGAAGCTCCGAGCCTCTGGAGCCCCGACACGGAGCCTCATCACTTACACTTGAGAAAGGGCGGGTTCAGAGCTGTAACTGGGGGCCCGCCGGCGCCCGCCGGTCATCTCCCATCCCGCCGCGGCCGCTGCCGCGGGCCTGTGGAAGAGGAATCGACTCCCACTTGTGGGTTGCGGGGGGAGTAGGCATGGGGGGGGTCACACATTTGTAGCTTCCCCTTGGAAAGGGGCTCCTTGAAGAACAGGCTGCAGACGGGTTTCCAAGGTGCTCGACCGGATGGGGAAGGGTATAGGTCTGGACGGCGTTCCCCCACCCGCACCCCCATACGAAACACCAGGTCCCCGATCGTCAGCCCCCTCCAGGGCTCTCGTTGGTCTCGACGTCGTGGCCGCCCGAGCACAAATGTGTTTCGTCAGCCCATGTTATTTTGGTTGGAGAAGGCGAAAACACCGAGTACCATCGCGCAGGTCCCGTTGGCTAGTTTGTTCTGCGAGTGAAGATGGATTTGCACTTTGCAAGGGAGCTGGGCTGGGCTGCCCCGGCCAGCGCGCGCAAGGCGCATCCCCACCTTGAGGCAGACTCGGGGGGTGGTTCTGATCCCTGCGGAGCACTGGGTTCTCGTGTTTCTCCCTACGCAGGGGGTCTCGAAACGGAGCAAGAAGGAACCCTCAAAGAGGGGGAAACAGTTTAAACAGTTTGAACAACTTCTTTGCCTGCAACTCCTCTCCGGGGCATTTTGCCGTCGCTGTCCTTGGGCCAGCGTGGCCGTGGGTGACTCTCCATCGCCCGGACTGCAGGGCAGACGTTTCTGCACAGCGCAGGTCCCCTGGGCCCCCAAGGGTGGCCCCAGACTCCACTTTCCCACAGCCATTCCTCCCCCACACCCAGGTGCAAACAGACCCGTCCGGGGAGCAGCTGTCCCCATGCGGTGGCCCGCGGGCCCCTCTCGGGTCGGCCCCTGCGCCCCTGGAGCCTCGGCTCTGTGGGTCCTTCCTCCGGAGGAGTCTGGTACCTGTTTCCTTAGTCAGAACCACCTTTGGTCCCGAACACTTCCGGAGACTTGTTTAGCCTGCGCTGCACTGACGTGTCGCCTGGGACAGCCGTTCCAAGAGCCCCGCTTCTGCCCTCCTGCCCCTTAGAGCGTTTGGCGACCTGAGTTAGGCGGACTGTGCTTTCCAGGGACGCTTTTTTTCTTTTAATCCGTAAGATGATTTGGGTGAGGGCACCAGGCCACAGGCGGAGCCGTGTTTAGCCGTCGCTCCTGTGGCCGTGACTCAGAAATGAAAAGCCCCCCAGCCCTGCTGCCTGGGCCGCGCTCAGGCAGAGGCTTCGTGTTCCTCACGCGCATCCTGAGCAGATGTTTGTTGAGTGACTCACGGCGCCGCACCACGTGCTGCGGGCCGCGAGGGAGGGTCTCTGCCTGTGCTGTGCAGCTGGAGGCGGCTTGAACCGCTCTGACCCGCAAGCCCGTATGCCTCTCCCTTTGAAGCCCTGCGGTGTCCTTCCCACGGCGGATGACGCCGAAAGATAAGGTCAGGAGAGTGTTTGGCTTGCGGTCACTTTGCCAGCAAGTGATAGAACTCGGACTAGAATCCGGATTTTTCCTTCACTGAACTTTCTCCACAAGCTGTGACTAGTCCTCAGAGGTATTTTTAGGGAGGTTGGTCTGGCAGCGAGCGATACAGATCAGGAAGGGACAGTGCAGTCCCCTCCGTCCCCTCGGAGGTGTGGGCCGTCCGCCCAGCGCCCCCGTGAGTCAGCGTCTGCTTTGGGAGCATACCGCCCCAGACCTGTGCCCCTCAGCCCTGTTGTGGGAACCTCAGCTGCCGCCCGCCTGGCCAGACCGCTCGGTCCACACCCCCTGCTGTCAGGGGCTCGCAGAGCCAGGGGGCAGGCCCGGTCCTTCTGTTTCCTCAGAGAGGGCATCAGCTGCTTGCTACCACCTGAACCGCTGCCAAGGCCATCGAGTCCTGGGGTGACGTGGCCCTGCTGCTCTCCCCGGCTCTCTGTGCCAGCCACACCCAGCCCCTGCCCGACAACCTCACGGTTGTTGTTTGCTGTGCCTGAAGTTCACCGGGTCTGTGGCCCGGAGACGCCCTGCGGGTCCTGGGGCGCCCCCCTCACGTGCCTCTGGGTGGCTGCAGAGCGTCCCTGCAGTGTGGTTTGGACACCCGCTGCCTGCGGTGCCCTGACGCCAGCTCGCGGCCGTCCAGAGTGGTGTTTGCTTAGGCCAAGCGCCCGCTGTTGTCACTGCTGTGTGTATTCTGGCTCTTAGGAGGTTCTGTGACGGAGACAGACGGTAGTTGGGGATTTCACCGCTGAAGAGCCGATCTCTCTTGCCAGTGGGTTCTGAGGGGGTGCTGTTGAGGCTACTCAAGATCTCTGAGGTCTTTCCGACGTGGGTCTCTGTTTTTTAAAGAAGTAAAAGAGGTTGGGGGGTGTATCCCTCAAGTGCATGTGTGAGTGCGCTTCGTCTGCTAAACCATACTCATCCACCCCCACCAGCCGAGAGAGGGGAAGGGAGGGAGAAAGAGAGGGAGAGAAACATCCATGTGTGGTTGCCTCTCCTATCCCCCAACCAGGGACCTGGCCTGCAACCCAGGCCTGTGCCCTGACTAGGAATCGAACCCACGACCCA